CCTCGGTGCGAGCGTGAGCTGGAGCATGAGCTGGAGGAGGAGGATGACGATGGGGAGGTGGAGGAGGAGGACGAGCGTCTCCTGGAAGGGAGAGAGGGGACGAGGTGTTGGCACGTGGGATGAGGAGGGGCCAGGGAGCCTCGGTGCAGCGCGGTGGCGGCACGGCCGGATCTCGCCGCCGGTCCTGCCACGGGCAGAACAGCCCCGGAGCCGCTCGGCCCTAGGACTCCCAGCCATGCCAGATGGCCGCCACCAATTCCCTCCCTGAGTGCTGGCAGACTCTTATTTTAGGGCAGAAAGCAGCTTGATTCACCCCCAAATTCCAACCCCCCACCCCTGCCTGTCTCCAGGAAGACCTGGAGAAGCCACAAAGACCCCCTCTGAGACAGCAAACGCCACCCCGGCACCACAAAACCGTGAGGGGGAACCCACCCCCTCCTTCCCACCGCGCTGCCCCCCGCTCTCCGCCTCAAGACGCGCTGGCAGCCAGGCCGCTGCAGCTTAAGGGTCGGGAAAACGAGCTGGATGGGAGAGTTACCGACCGGGACGAGGTGCTATGACCTGCGGCGGTGCTGCCGGGCTGCCCTGGAGCGGAACGTTGTTTGCCGAGTGTGGCAGCTTTTCCAGGGACGCCACCGCCGGCTTGTGCCGATGCCGCCGCCGCTTCCTCATCGCTGCCACCGAAGCTGGTGATGAAGGTGATTTTCTCCTCGTGGCCAGGAGATGGGGTGCGGGAACGGGAGCGGGATTCTGAGGTGGACTCTGAAGGGGATCTGCAAAGCAGCGAGGTGGTTACAAAAACAAAACCAAAAACCAAAACGCTCCTTCCCCCCCAAAAAAACTCGCAGGATCCGCACATCCCCTGCCTGGAGAAACTGCTCGTCCCCGAGCCACTCACCGTTTGTAGGGATCGTAGGTGGGGCTGTCTCTCCGTGCGTAGCTGTGAAAGGAGAGTGTGTTAGGGAAGGAGAAAAAAAAGAAAAAAACACCCACACTGGGAAATTGGTGGGATAGCCAGGAGGAGCCACCCAGGATGGATAGGAGGGGACCAGGGCCGTGAGCTCCATCTTGGCTGCTGGGCCTGGGAGCTCACCTGGGTGGGCTGATCTTCCTCCCTTTCAAGCGTTTTTCCCTGAATTCCCTCCTCTGGCGGCGAGAGCGACGGCCCTGGGAGAGCAGCTGCAGCTAAAAGGCAGCACCGACCACACGGGGGAACCACCCTGGGGGTTTAGGGGGCCTCCCCGGTACGCCGGGATGCTCACAGAGCTCCCCTTACCGAGTACATCGCCTTTTCCTCTTCCAGGGCTTTGGCGTTTTTAATAGCTTCTGCCTCCTCTTTGTCCTTCCGCAACATCCTTTAAACCCCGCAAAACCCCCCCCACAAACCAACCAAAAAGCAAAACAAAACAAAAAAATAGTAATGGAACTTGTGCTCAGAGGAGAGTTTTCTTGGGGAAGTCCCCATCCTACAGACAAGCACATCCTGCAAAGGACTTGAGGAGGCCCTGGGGACGCTCTGCTGGGCCACCAGCCGTACCTGACGAAGTCGCCCTCGGCCATGCCGTAGGTGGTCGCCTGCTTGTTCAGGTCGGCCACTTGCTCCTGGTTGAGCTCGTCCACGTCCACTTCCACGTCTGTGGGCAGAGAACAGGCAGCTCAGCGCACCCCAGGCAGCGAGGCAGGGCTGGGCACGTCTCCCAAAGCTGGGCAGAAGCAGCCCAGCAGCTCTGAGGGTCATTACCGATATCGGGGATGACTTCGTCTTCGTCTGTGTTGCTGTCTTCCTCGGAGTCTTCCTCATCGCCATGCTTCTCCAAGGAGTTCTCGAGCTCAGCCACGGTACTGTCCTCGTACGTGTAGCCAATGGAGGCTTTTTTCTCTGCCAGCCTGTGTGCAAAACACATTCAAAATGGCCCCAGGACAGGGACGGGACAGCCATTTTGGCGGGGTACAACATCAGAGCATCACGGGGAGCCTCCTTGCTCCCACCCCATTAGAGGGGAAACTGGGACCAGTTGGGAGAGTGTTTCTCAGTGCAGGCTCACCCCCCCGGCCAAGGACAGGGACGCACCAACTGTCCTCTGTCACCTCTTTGCACACTTACTTCTTCTTCTCATCTTCGTTTGGCTTCTGGAGTCCCCCGTAGAGCTCGTCGATATAGATCTGGTAGAGACACTGCTCCTCTGAAACTGCAACCAGACTGGGGAGTTACCAACCCGCTTTCTGCCCGCTCAGAGAGCTGGTTAACCACAGCTCGTTAGCGGCGGCGCAGCTCTCCCGGCGCTCCGCCACCCCCACAGAGGAGACACGACTGTCCCCTCCCTCGCCCTTCGGCCGTGCCCCGGACAAGCCAAGGTTTTCCCCAAATTGCAGGGTCTCGCGCTGTTTCGGCGCAGCCCCGCCCCGCGTGAGGCACTTACTGCCGGCAAAGTCGTTCTGCACCAGCCCCCGGTACCGCTCGTAGTTACATTTTCTCTCGTCAGACTCCTGCTCGGGGGAGCTGGAAAGGAGTAGATGCAGCTTTCGGTGCTCACAAGCCTCTGGGGAGACGGAGGTTCCCCCTCTCCCCAAGGGATTTTGGATGCTGGGAAAAAGCCACGGCCCCTTTCTGCTTGGATTAGCAAAATCGGATACCCCAGTCGAGTGGAGAGAGCAGGGCTGGGGGTTGCAGGCAGAAAAATCACGTGCCGGTCTGGAATTCCCTTAAAAACCCAGCAAAGAGCAAGAAGGGAATGGGGGCTGCTCGCGACAGACTCTGGGGGGGTGGAATTTCCCCTCTGCTCCAAGCTGGGCTGACCCGCTCCAGAGACAGAGACCCCACCAACCTCCAGGGGTTGTGGCAGGACTTAATTAACCTCATCGCTCTAATTTTGGCTTTCTCATCACAGTTTCTTATTGTAGACCCTTGTGAGCATCTCAGCCCCATCCTCTTGAACATTTTAAGTACAGAAAAGCTGCTGTGGGGTTCCCCTTCGCCCCGTGTTCCAGCCCTGCCCATCCCTCCGCACTAGCTCCAGCTTATCCTCCTCGTACTGGGATCTCCACACTGGTCCCAGCATGTAAAGCCCAAAAACCAGCCCTGCAGCGACCCCAGACAGGCGACGCTGGTTCCGAAATCTCAGGCAACCACTCCAAAACAGACCCGAGAAGGCCTGATCCGGACCCGGCAGCTCCCGTCGAAGCGGGGTGCCCCGGTGCCCCACGGCTTACATGGGGTTCAGCAGGGGCGGGGTGTACATGGGGATATAGTCCAGGTGCGCCCGCACGTCGAAGCGGTCGATCATGTTGTTCGTGTCGCCCTGCCAGGGCATCCTGAGTGGAAAGAGGAGTCGCCAGGGTTGGGGGACAGCCAGGAAGCCCCTGCCCCGGGAGGAGCAGGGACCCCCAGATCTCCACACCCCGTTCCCCTCCCAAGCACCAGAGCCCATGCTTGGCTCCCACACGTTAGTGGGACACCAACTCATTCACCACAGCAACGTTTCCTGGAAGCCCCAGCGGAGCAAAATCCTTTTTTTTCCCCCAGCTTTTACGAACAAAAATCAGCCCAAATTTCACTTCCCAGGGTGGGAGGGACCCAAACAGCCCTGGGTCTGCGCTATAAGAAGCTGGGGACAAAAAGCCTCCCCGCACACCCCCAAAGCCTTTGCCAGCAGGTCGGTGCCTCGCAAAGGCACTGCGACTGCACCACAGCCACCCCTCCAAATCCCCTCACCCTGGGGAGCAGCAGGGGCCACCTCCAGCACCACGCAGGGCTACTCACATGTTGACGGGGCTCTCAGCAGCCAATGCGACAGCCGAGTCCAGATGGACCTTGCAGGCCCGGCCATGAACCTGAAGGAACTGGGCTGGGTCCTTTTTCTAGGAGGAGCAAAAACCCCCAGATAGAAGAAAAAAACCCAAACCAAAACAACAAAAAATTCCACACCAAAGGAGTAGAAACCCCAAGGGTTAGAAAAAAGGGAGTAGGAGGCCTGAACCTGGGGAAAAAAGGGGAGCCCTGAGCCTCCAGTGCTGGAGAAAAGAGGGAGCTGGAGCCCTAAGCCTCAGGGAAAAGGGGAAGCCCTGAGTCTCTAACACTACATTAAACGGGGAGCAGGAGCCCTGGTCCTTACAGAAAAGAGGGAGTTGGAGCCCTGGGAAAAACAGGGAGCACAAAGAGGGCTGGTTTGCTCGTGTGAGTTCAGGGCACCCACCCAGGGACACCCCTGTGGCACAGCAGCAGGTGCTGCAACTCTTTTATCCACCCCAAAATGAGCCACGAAGCACCCAGAGGGTTCCCAAACATGCCCCAAATGGGGACCCATCAGGGAACGGATGATCGGGGGCCACTGCTGTCCCCGGGGAGGGGGACACTCACGATTTTCTCGTAGTACTCCCTGCGGCGCTCTGCTCGCTTCTTGTAGTCCACCATCATCCCCCGCAGCTTGCGCTCGTGCTTGCGGGCTTCGTGCCACATCCTGGCGGCCCCCAGCTGCTACCGAGCCGAAGGGGTGTCTCGCCGAGGGGCGAGCAGGAAGCAGAGGAAGAGGTCGACGGCTGTTCCTTGCCTGGGGGCGAAAAGCTGCGTTGGGGTACACGGAGTAGCCCGGGGTGGGGGGGACACCTGGCAGCAATACAGGGAGTGGGGGTGGGCACCCCTGAATGATGGGGACACCGGGTGTCCTCGGGGCAAGGAGGGGAGGAAGAAGAAAGGGCGGGCCGGG